CCAGCGTGAGTTTAAACCACCAGGTCTGGAACTCGAACCGCAGTCGACTACATGGGAGTTTGGCGACATAGCCATTATGCTAACTGCTGGTCCCTGGCTCATTTTTTAAAAATAGAAACATATTAGGGCTGGCAGATGGCATGGTGGTTCAGGTGCTAGAGTCCCACATGGCCAACTATGGTTCAAGTCCCAGATCTGGCAACTTGACAATGTGTCAGGCATGTGTGTGTGTGTGTGCCCAAAATTTTTTTTTTTTTTTTTTGCTTTAGGATGCATGCGATCACCAGAAAGACAGAGAGAGAGACAGAGAGACAGAAAGCGAGAAATCACCCCCCAGGGAGGATGGTCACACTGCAATCTCTTCTCCTCCATTCTCCTCTCGGGATCTTGGGCACACACGCACATGTGTGAGGCATGAGTTTAAGTCACCGGGTCCAGTACTCGAACCACAGTCGACTACATGGAAGTCCAGCAACATAGCCATTATGCTAACTGCTGGTCCCTGCCCAAAATCTTGAGAGAAGAATGGAGAAGGGATTATGCCATGGCCATTCCCCTGGGAGTGATTTCTCACTTTCCCTCTTTCTGTCTCTCTAGCAAGTGCACATGCCCTGTGGCAAAACCTAAAAGAAAGGAACACATCCACAGTATGAATGGGCCATACCCCATGGACACACTGCAGTTGTTTCTGATTCTGTCTTTATGATATTGTTGCGATCAGTATTCTCAGTTTGTTACTGTACTTCTGTCAGGCAGACTCACCAAAGTACAATGATTAAGGCAAGGGATATGTGTGTTCTGTATCTTACTAGGTGGTACCACATGACCTAACCAGAAATACAGTGCTGTTTTCTGTACATGTGCACCTCACACTTAACGGAAACACTTTCACAGCGTCTCTGTGGCACGTCCAACTTGCAAGCATCACTACTCTTGTACTTTGGGACTATTATTAAGTAAAACTGATATAGTCACTCTGACAACCTGGACATCTCTGTAGTGACTGATGGGTGAGAAGCATGAGATCCCGGACAGAAGACCATTCACATCCCAGACAGGACCCAGTGAGACTTCATTGCACTACTTAGAATGGTGGGCAGTTTAAAACTCAGAAAGACAGAAACTGCTGGAAACCACTCCCCCCATGTAACCCAGGATCCGTGGTGAAGGGTGGGAACTGATGGGGTTGTCGGCATTGGGAGCTTTAGTTTTCCTTGTTAATAGGAGTAGCCATATGTGGCAGGACCTTGAAAGCACCCTGCTGTCTAGATGTATCAGGTAAAGGACAGGAGGCCTTGGGGGACCAGCTCTGTGGCCATCCCAGTGCTGCCACCAGGGGCTCACAGATAGGTGTCCCCTTACACCCCCTCCCAGGAAGAGAAGTGGAACCCCAATTCACGGACACAAAAGGACTCTTCAAATAAATTTTCTATAGAGATGTAGCTACATGTGAAACAGTAGAGTGTAATACTTAAGGTACACTATGTATCAACTAAGTCATACCACCATATGTAAGATTTAATAAAAATATTTTTTACCTCGGGACTAGCAGGTGGCATGATAGTTAAGTTGTGGACTGCCACATGTTTGACCGCAGTTTGAGTCCTGGACCTGGTTACTTGAAAATCACACCAAATGTGTGTGTGCATGCCCAAAATCCCAGGACAGTAGAGGAGAAGGGATCACAGTGTGGCCATCCTCCTGAAGGGTGATTTCTTGCTTTTCCTCTCTGTGTCTCTCTGTCACTGTCTCCAGTGAGCACACGCACCCTATGGCAAAAACCTTTTAAAAAAATTTTTTTTTTACTTTCAAGTAAGAGATGTACAAATAAATATAGTTACTGAATTTTTCTGCACTTAACTGTTGTACACTACACTGTGAGGAAGGTAGGTCCATTTTACAGATCAATAAATTGAGCTTTTGATGTCAGACAGCTTTCCCAAGGTCACAGAGTTAGTCGGCTGCGGGGCTCAACCCTAGGTGTGACCCACACTGCAGTGCTGCGCATCACAAGGCCTTCGCCCAGCTTGTTGTTTTGTCACTCCCTTTCTTCCCTCTTGCTATGTTGGCTTATCCTTTGAGAAGGCAGCTTTTTCCCCCTGAGCATTTCTGTCATTCTTTAAGGTGAGTTGAAGTGGAAACATATTCTTATTTTGCAAATCAGTCCTTAGTAACTATTCATTGATACTGTAAATATAACTGCTGCTGTGGCCATGATGACAGGTTCACAAATTGGATTAGTTACTATGTTTCGAGCTTTCTTAATCTTATTTTTTCAGTAGTCCATTTTCATTTAAAATTTTATTTACTTCTTGCTGAAAGGAAGAAGATTTCCCTCTCCACGTTGGCTGTTGTCTGCCTCTGGCTTCGACATCTCCCCAGCCTGGAAAAAGCAACACTGCATCTTTTTGAAAAGCTGATTTCCAGTGGGAGAAATTGTCTGAGAAGGATCGAATGCTTTATAAAAGATTCATTGCTGGTATGTGCTGGGCTTTGGTGAAGAGAAAAATCTTTTTAAAGAGATGCTGGGAATCATTTCTGTAAGTCAAAGAATGAGAAAAGGGGAAATGTAAACCGAAGAGCGATTGGAACCATTTAAAATAATTGTGTATTTCATCTTTTAAAAAAAAAAAAAATACCTAACGTAGGGGTGCTTTTCTATTTACTTGGATCATGTAGAGAGAAGTTGAAGGTATACTCACTTATTGTACCTTATGCTATACATTCTTTAGAATTGACATCTGGGGGGCCGGCATATGGCATGGTGGTTAAGGGTGCTGGACTCTCACATGGCCAACTATGGTTCAAGTCCTGGACCTGGCATCTTGCTTTCTCACTTTCCCTTTCTCTCACTCTGTCCCTCTCTGGTCAAATTATAAATAAATAAATAAAGTTAAATAAAATAATTCTTAAAAAAAAGAAAAAGAATTGGCATCTAGACAAACTTTTTTTAATTGCCAGAGGGCATGTACACTCACCAGAGAGAGACCGAGAGATGAAGAAGGAGACAGCACCCACAGTGGGGCATGGTCATACCACCATGCTTTCTCCATTTCCCTGTCCTGTTGGGGTTTGGGGGTGGCATAAGCCACTGGGGCTAGGATTCAGACTGTGGTTGGCCATGGGAGATCCAGCTCCCTTAACCAGTAGGCTACTTGGCCAGCCTGACAAGCTCTTTAAAAACATTTTTTATTTTAACATGAAAAGTTAATTTTTAGAGGTGAAGATCTTACGGATTGACAGGAAGAATCAATCAACATTCAAAAAATAGACTTTTAAGGGCCAGGTGTTGACCCATCAGTAATAGAAGTGGATCCCCCAGTGAAGGTCCTGGGTCACGTCCTGAGACTGCCCTGAGCTCACCAGGTGTGAGCCCACGGCCTGGGTCAGCTGAGACTTGGTGTGAATTATGGTATGAAGACCCTGTCGAGCGTGCCTGTCTGTGTATATGTGTCTCTCATTGAAGACAAAAATACATTTTATAAACAAGCTTTTAACTCTCCACAAAAGAAAAAGTAAAATGCTCAAGAAAAACAAAACAAGGGCCAGTCCTTGGCATGATGCTCTCACATTGCCAGTGGAATGGTTCAAGTCCCAGACCTGATGGCTTGAAAGCTGGGCACGAGTCACATGTGCCTGTACTCCTAAAAGGAGAGAGAAATGGAGAAGGGATTACAGCACGGCCATTCCCCCAGAGGAGGCTTTCTCACTTTTTCTCTCTCTCACTAAGGGAGGCTTTCTCCTTTTCTCTCCTCTGTCCCTCTTCAAGGAGCACCTGTACTCTCTGACAAATTAAAGGAAAAGAAAAGAAAAAAGTAGCAGTGGTTAGAACAACAGCTAAGACTTATTTAAGTTTCCTTTTGGTGTAAGAATGCCAGCCTTGATACCTCCCCCTGCAGCAGCCCAGGTTTCCCTTCACTCAGCTCTGTGGAGTCAGGGACTCTGTGAGCTATCCAGGTCCCTGCACCTGATCTGGACTAGGCATCCTCAGAGCCTGGACAGCCAGGGTGTCTTCCTTCTGTGGACGGTAGCTCCGTGGAATGTGTGTACATTTTTGTAAGAACAGGAGTAAAGGCCAATGCACCCTAAAAACGACAATCGAAAACCATGCAAGTGCCATGTCTCACAACCTGTCTTCCAGGAGCCTCCAAGGACTGCCATGTTCTCTCGTCAGTTTCTGTAACCTGTGGGGATTTAGCTGAGATCACCCCCCAGTTTGTACACATGCGGAAAGTGAGAACAGTGGTGAACAGCCTGATCTTAAATGGGAAGCCAGGAAGCTGGCAGGAGGCAGTGTTCACCTTGGGGCCACCGAGGAGGTTCTGAGTTTGCAGAGCCCTCCCCACCGCAGACACCTTCTATTGTTTCATTCAACCGGAACTTCCTGTTCCTGGTCTCTCATCTTCCTTTGAGTTGGATACCGTGTAAGGAAATCCCATCTGAATCGGTTGCCTCTTCATCCATTTCCGTCCTCCCCTGCCCACCTTCCCCATCCCAGGCTCCCTGCCCCCTCCTGCTAGGCCTCCCAGGTGAACGTGCCAGGAGCCCTTGTACCTGTAAGGTAGGCGGTGCTGGCCGAACCGGAATGATAGGAAATTTTACAGTGTTTGATATAAGGGAAAAAAATTAAGTCAGAGACAGCCCAAAGACAATTTTTTTTAGGATAATTCCTACTTGACCTCACCATTCAAAAGAGCTGTATATTCAGGCAGGAAATAAAAATTCACCTTTAAAAAAATAATTACATGCAATTTAAAGTAAAGACTGTTAGAAACCCTTTGACACTCTATTCCAGGTTGTTAAAGGTAATAAATTACCTTTATTATCCAGTAAATCTCTTTATTTGTAACTAAAATATGATGCTGTAAGTTAATTTTCTCTGGCCCTTTTTTAGTAGCAAAGTACAGTAACTGAGCCATTTGTTTGCTTCTGGGGTACTGAGTAAATTTCCTTTAAGTCTTCTCCCTGATGAAAAACTCCAGTTCCATCGACTTTTCTGCAGCCTTTCATTAATTCTTGTGGTTCTTCTCCAACCTTCTCCATGTTCTTTTTACCTGTGGCCCTCAGGCCTGAGTAGCACGTTAGTGACATGATGATGAGACAGAGAAAGCAGGTCCTCCCACTGAAGATCACGCTGTCCCATCTTCAGCCTTCAGTTTATAGTTTCCACGATGCCTCTCTCCCCTCATCAGATAGCTGCGGAGTCAGTGGATTTATAAAAGCGTTTATCAGGATCATGTGTGTAGATTCTGAGCTTCCATAATGTTGAACGTGGATTCCAGAGGGTGTTACTTGGCTTAATTTACTGTGGCATTGGCAGGATGTGACCTTGCTGTGCCTCACGGTTCAAAGAGGTGATTGCCGCCCTGGTGGTGAGCTGGACGCTCCCGATTGGCGTGGGCTGTTCTCCTCAGGCGTCCTGGCCTACCAGTGCCAGAAAGCCATGCAGGCTGGAATGAGCCCGTGACGTGGCCGAGTGATTACAGGGTAACCCGAAGAACCTGCTTCCTAATTGCATCATCTGATTCATTTATCGCAGCACAGTATCTTGGTGCAGTGACAGGACCGTACAGAAGTATCAGCGAGGTCGCTGAGATTCAGATCGCACGGGGCAGCTTTGCTGCAGGAGAAACCCGATGCCTATTACATTAGAGTTGGATTCTGAGAGTAATTAAAGTGTGATGGTCTACGTAACTTGTGTTTTATATGGAGCACTGTTAATTATATTTCTCTCCCTTGGGACTATCCAGAATGAGTCCTGGAAATTCCGTAGTTAACAAAATGTAGCAAAAACAAGAAAGTGTGGTTCATACAGGTAGTACAAAGTGAAATGACCTTCCCAAATCTTCTGTGGCCTTCCAGGGACCTGAAGGCTTGGTATTTTCCCTTCCTACTATGAATAGCAGGGGCTAGTCTAACACCATCTGATTCGCACATGCATACATAGTCTTGAGCTGTATAAAGACACTTTGATCAATTACAGACCACACAGATGATGGTGGTCCTCTGAGACACTGCTGGGCTGTCCCAGGTACGTGGTGGGCTGTACCATCTCAGCTTGTGTAAGTACCCTCGATGTTCGCCCATTGACAAAATTGCGAAAGGACCCATCAGAGCATATTCCTGTCACGAGGTGACGCTTCACTGTGTATGTGCATTTGAGGTCTAAAATAAAAGTAAGTTTCCTTTTTTTGAGAATTATTTATATAGGGACCAGAAGATGGCATAATGGTTATGTTGTTGTCCCACATCGTTGATTGTCTCAGACCTGGCATCTTAAAAGTCAGGCCAACGTGGGACCAGCAGATGGTGTAATGATTATGTCACTGAACTCCCACATCGTCAACTTTGGTGTGATCCTGGACCCGGCAGCTTAAAACTCATAGTGGACACGTGTGCGTGTGTGCCCGTGATCCTGAGAGGAAAATGGAGGAGAAGGGGTTGCAGTGTGGTCATCCCCCCAGAGAGTGATTTTTTTGTTTGTTTGTTTGCTTTCTGTCTCTCTGGCTTTCTCTCTGGTGAGTGCACTCACTCTATAGCAAAAATCTCTTTAAAAAAAAAAACAACTCACTCTAGCACATGTGTGCATGCTCAAATCCCCAAGAGGAGAATGGAGGATAAGGAATTGCAGCATGGCCATCCCCCTGGGGGATGATTTCTTTCTTTCTGTCTCTCTAGCAAGTGCATGTACCCTATAGCAAAAATCTCTCTCTAACTAAAAGAATTATTTATTTAATTTCATGTATTACAATTGTTTCTTTAAAAAAAAATTTGCTATAGGGCATGTGCACTTACCAGAGAGAGACACAGAAAGGGAAAGTGAGAAAGCAAGCTGCAAGACCCAGGACTCAAACCATGGTTGTCCATGTGGGAGTCCAGTGCCTCAACCACCTCGCCAACTGCTGGCCTCAAAAGTAAATTTTCAAAACCTGCTTTTCCTTTGAGGCTTACTCTTTGGCTTCCAAGCACTAGACTGTCCCCTATACATGGTCACTTGTCACAGTTGGTTGCTTCTAGATGAATCGAGGTACTAACCGTAGTTTGCCATTTACCATGCAGACCAAGCCTTTTCAAAAGAGGATGGTCTTGTGTTTCCCTGGACAGTGCAGGCACTGGAAGACCACAATCCAGAGCCTCGGGCCTTCAAGACCGATGTCACGGAAAGCAGTGAAAACTGTTTGCTAATTATGCAGCTTTCTTGGCACCATTTGGTTCCACAAGGCTGGCCTTGAGTCAGAAGGATGCCATGATTTCCCATTGCAGTTCTATTTGTGGAGCCCAGAAAGCTATTGTTTGGATTCTGCACTTGAATGGGAAGTGCTGACGGGGGCAGGACGGCACTGTGCTTGGCTGCGCACTGTATGCCAGGGCCGGGAGGTACCCTGGTTCCCATGCCCTCCAAGCCTGCCGCCTCACTGCAGGCGGATCCTGAGGAGTTGTTCCCGCGCCTTGCCAGGCGGGTCTACCCAGAAAGAGGCG